CAGGAATGCAGATACCCTCAAAACTGTGGACAGACATTGGCTTGTACAAAGGGCGAATTTTTCCTTGCCTACCATGTTTGTGGTTTCACTTGGAAAAACTAACTGCAAATCATTTTGTCAGTAGTGAGGTTTTATTTAATGCATGTCCAGAGGAAAAGGAAAAAACTTCCAAACCCAAACAACCCCCTCTTGCCCCAGAAACCTTCTCGAGGCAGACTGCTTTCATTTGCAAACCTACTGCTCAAAAGCGCCTTTTAAATGTACAGTTTTCAAATAATATTTTCCCAAGTCTCACAAGGTGCCAAAATGGCATTATTTGGCATCTCTGCTGTTTGTGCCATGCCTGCCATTTGCTTCAGGTTAGGTTTATGCAAAGTGCTTCCAGCTCAGCAAACCAGCAGGTGATTCATGGCATTTCCTGGTTTTCAAGGGCTTGAGCCACAGAGGACTTTGGATCAATACTCTTTTAACCAAATCAAGGAAATGATGGAGAGGTTAGTAAGGCCATGGTGAACCTTGGATGAGCTTGAAGTATGACCATATTGACATTAGCTCCTCTATGAAGAGGGCCACAAGAAGCAGGGATTTTATTATGCATATCATAGAATAGTGAGGGAGAATTTTCACCATTTCCTTATTCATGGACTTGGTAAGAACATGTGATACTTCACCACATTATTATTCTTCATACAGGACTTAGGCCAAGTGAAATTATTCCCTGCAGCTGCCTTTTTTAGAAACTTAATTCCTGAGCAAAATAAGTTAAATATATGTGAATGTGACATCAAACTGAGGTCTGAAAACCAGACTTGAACACTGTGACCAATGATTGCTGGTTCTAGTGCAAGAGCAAGAAGACACTTGATACCTGCCTGTTAGTATCAGCAAATGACAAGTAAAAAGGTTTTGAGCTTCTGGTATCAGGATCTACCTAGTACTGGAGGACTTGTTGAAAGAGATTTGTGTGCACAGTAGACCACCATGTGAATTAATGTTGTATTGATCAGCGCACACAAAGCTGCCCAAAAGGTGAGAAAGGCTGTTCAGTCCCAACATGTTATGGACCCACCAACTGTAATGCTGAATTCCCACGGATCATGGATTTCACTTCAGTTGTGATTTGCCACTGCAGTGATTATGAATGTTGTTTGATTACTTCAGGCAATTTGATAAATGAAAACATCTTTCCTATATTAAAGGAACCTACTTTTAATCTTATGCTTGTCTGAATTTCCTTTTTTCTCTCCTCAGCAATGGGTGGCATGGACAGGACAGATGATGTGAGAGTCTACACAGTTATGTTTCCCCTGCACAAAGATGACCTTTCATCCCTATTATTTTAATGGCATAAACAAATTAATTTTCCTTGAGTAAATTTATAAGCAGAAAGCACTATATCTGAACATACTAAAAGAATATGTATTTTTTTCTAAGTCTAAGCTTATCGTTAACAGCATTCCCACAGAACTATACTTTAATCTAGCTGCACTGAATGGGTTCATCAGCTAATAAGTGGGTTGAAAACTAAGTGGGTTGTAAACCTCTCAGGTAATTGCCAACAGCTTTAAAATTAGTATTGGAAGCTATAATAAAGAATACATATTCATAGCTTATCATGCTCTTCAGCAGCCACCCCATTTATCTGGCTGCTCTTAAGAGCAAGCGAGCAAGACATTTCAGTGGAACTTCTGTCTTTCTCCTTTGTTTTAGCCAGTTTAAAACCCACTCAACGTTCAGGGGAGTGTACTCAAGTCCCTGTGGTGTACTTAATGAGTTAATATTCCTAAAATAATACTCACATTTTTGGGTATCCCAGATGTAGTTGTTCAGGGCCTCTCCCACCAAGTAGAATATGTTAATTATTACAGTAGCAGCAGCAAAAAAGATTATTTTGACACCTGCACTGAGGTGCTCAAGAAGTGGGTACACCCACACTCCTGTAACGTGGTGAATCCAGCACATCCTGAAAGAAAACAAAAACAAGTACTGACTCTTACAGCCCTGTTTTTCAAAAGTAGTTTAGGCTATAGGCTTAGCTACTGTAACCTGAAAAGCAAGTATCTGAAAGGGCTGCAAGTTGCAACTGTACTGGAGTACCTGGATGACATCCACCCAGAGCAGACAGGCCAAACGATGAAACGATGACTGATTTCCCACACTCTTACTGCTTTGTTTTGAATTTAGTAAGAGCAGTTGTCCCCTTTTCATTTCTGATGTAGGCAGGTGTTTCCTTGCTGCATCTATATTTATGAGGAACACAAACCCCTGTTTTCTGCAGCAGTGTGGAACCTGCAGCACCCTCTGCTTCAAGAAGGTTCTTTATCTGAAGGGCATTCACAGTTCTCCAGGCAGGCTGTTCTACACATACAAACCCTCTGCTTTCTGCAGCATCCCTCTTCCATTTTGAACTTGTTTAAGTGTTTCTGCTGCTTTTCCTCACTACACCTGGCAAGTGCATCAGCTTCTGGATTTGCCAGACACACAGACAACGGGTAATGAGCACAAGTTGCTCCTGGGGAGATTCCAACTGGACACAAGAGGTAACTTTTTCACCATGAGGTCCAATACTGGAATAGTCTCCCAAAGGAAGTGGTAGATTCCTCCACATTGGACAGTTTTAAGTCTCAGTTTGACAGGGTGCTGGGCCATCTCATATAAACTACAGTAGTACCTGGAAAGGACCAAATGATCCTTGAGGTCCCTTCCAACCTGGCATTCTATGATTCTGTGATATGGTTTGTTGGTGACAGAAAAGTTTTTAGCATTCAGCCACAGTGGAGATTGTTGGTACACTAACCCAAGAGACAGGGTACCATATTTACTGCAGTGCAGTCTGAGGAAGCACTCCAGGTAAGTGGTTTTGCTGTGTGTCACTGCAATGGACACCTGTACACTCTGAAGGGATAGCTTTTGTGTTGAGATCTGACATCGTGAGTGCTCAAGTCAGAGGGAGCAGAGCAAGTCCATAAATTCCAGTAGGTGGAAGCTGAGAAAGGCAAACATTGCCAAACTTCAAAAAGTTCAACAAGGGCCAGGTGCAAGATCCTTGCAGCCTCAGAGCCATCTCAAACACAAATACAGGCTGGGCAGAGAATGGATTGAGTACAGGCCTGAGGAGAAAGACTTGGGGGTGTTGGTTGATCAGCTGGCAATATGTGCTTGCAGCCCATGTCCTGGTCTGCATCCCCAGCAGTGTGGCCAGCAGGTCAAAGGAGGTGATTCTCCCCCTCTACTCTGATGTCATGAGGCCCCACTGTGAGTACTGTGTCCAGTTCTGGAGTGCCCAACATAAGAAGGACATGGAGCTGTTGGAGAGAGTCCAAAGAGCCACAAAGATGATCACAGGGCTGAAGCACCTCTGCTATGAAGACAGGCTGAGAGCTGGGTTTGTTCAGCCTGGAGAAGAGAAGGTCTCCAGGGAGACCTCATAGCAGTCTGTATCTGAAGGGTACCTTCAGATACCCAATACCTAAAGGGGGTCTACAGGAAAGCTGGGGAGGGACTTTTTACAAGGGCATGGAACAACAGGATGAGGGGAAATGGCTTTAAACTGAAAGGGCACAGATTTAGACTAGAAATTAGAAAGAAATTCTTTAGTGTGAGGGTGATGAGACACTGAAACAGGTTTTCCAGGGAAGCTGCAGTTGCTCCATTCCTGGAAGTGTTCAAGGCCAGGCTGGACGGGGCTCTGAGCAACCTGATCTAGTAGGAGGTGTCCTTGCCCATGGCAGGGGGATTGGAACTGGATGATCTTTAAGGTCCCTTCCAACCCAAACCACTCCACTATGAAACAAATGAGCAAATATCACAGAGGCTAAATGGGAAGATTGCTCAGCGGAGACAGGCCTGTGAGCAGCTGGGCTCTCTTCAAGAAAATAAATCTCTTCTGACCTGCAATTTGAGAGAGGAGTTCACAGTGAAGCACAGCTAGAGAAGACTCAGCAGCTGCACAGACTATTATTGATGGGGATTTCCATGTCCGTATCATTTGCTTACCTTGCCAATAGTTCTGTAAGTTTAAGGAAGACTTTTGATCACTAGATGAACAGTCAGGCTCCTGAAGGGCAGAGACACAGAAATCCACCCAAAACTGTTACCATAAATGCCTGGCACATAGAGAGTTTATAATACTTGTTTAACGAGTCTCCATCACCCTGGAAATGTACATGGTTGTCATAGCTCCCCTCCTCCTTAGCAATGTTTTTATTACAGTCAAACCCTTAACAGAAGGACACTTCATGTAGGAATTTACATTTGTCAGTAAATTAATCTGCACGATCTAAATGCAGATTAAACCCCCTTAATCCACATTACATATGGAAAATTATCTCTGTACTTCACAGTTATTTTCCACAACATCGATCTGTGCCAGAATAAACCTGACAAGATAAAGGTATCTGTGAGAAAATAAAGAGGATGTTCCTCTTGGTCAAAGAAAAAGATGGGACAGTTGGGCAGAAGGTAAGGGGATGTCCCTCTACTCCCAGGTTGGCTTAGCAGGGAGTGTCTATTACTCCTTGAAGCTTTCCAGTTTCATTTGCTTTTGTTTTATGATCATTCTGTGAAAAACAAGCTATAAGGAAAAGCTTGAAAAATCAGTCAGGGCTTCTTTTTCACTTATTTTCTTTGGTGTGATAAAACTGTTCAGCACTATTAAGCACCTCTACAGAGGGACTTTTCAAGGGACCTCTCAACTGCACATAGGTAGTCAACTTCATGAACAAAGCAAAAGTGGCATTTAATATAATGCATTTATGCTGGAAAGAGGAAATATTTTTTAATCCAAATAATGAGTCACTGAGGAGCTCCTGGCTACAAGCAATCTCTGGTTATCTCAGAGTCTTTTGAGTACATCTCATGCACTCTGCTCCCTGCTGCCCACCACAGGAGCCCATTCATTGCTTGGTGATACTGCTTGCGCATTCAGTGTAGCTGCTGTACATCTGGACCTGGTGCAGTGTCACTGCAGGAACTCATGCTTTGAGCACAAGAGGTACCAAGCAGCATACAATGGTCACAAACCCACCTGAGGAGCCACCCTGATCTTTAAAATGAGCTGTACCATGCTGCTCACTACACTAGGAGGGAGTAATACTAGGCTTCTCTGCACTGAGCAGTGAGACACTGAGTGTTCCTGCATGGCCTATATCACAAACAGGAGCAGCAAAGGGACAACTGCTGCCATGGAAACCTCACCTGATGGCCCTTCTTAAGAGTTTGTTCCTGCTTGAATACAAGCCACCTTGATGCATCACAATAAAGGGGTGATCAACCGTAGGCATAAAGCTTCCACACAAATTTGCTGATAACTAATGTTAATGAATGCCTTCAACATTGCAATTCTAGTAGTCATTATTCCTGTCCAGCCTCATTATTAGATAAGCACAGGGGAGCAGGCATTAAGATTTATTTAGGAGTGCAAATCTAGATCCAATTTAAGATCCTGTTGTTGAACAGGTGTAAAAAATGGGTCATTTACGTAAGAATAAACTGTGGAGAAAAAGTCTGAGCTAAAACTGGACTGGCTACTTTTGAGAAGATAAAATTAATTTGAGCCTCCTTGTGTTTTGGTTCTGTGGCAGCCCATGTAGATATAACTGAATGGTTTCCAAGATGAATGTGTTACTTACAGGTCATCAAGCTCATTTAGTCGTTTGGACCAGTAAGAAAAGAAGGAATAGAAATATTCACATACTGTATTCAAATTAAAATGTCTGTTAAAAAAGGTGGTGATTTTTGGCAGTTTTCAACCAGCTGGTGTAGAAATCAGAAAAAGCTATTTGAAAACACACAGTATTGCTTCTTTTTAACAAATCTGTAAAATTCTTACTTGTTAGCTGTTTTTCACTTCTGGTATGCAGTAGATGTTGTGTATCTCTCCCATCAAAGTAATCAAGAGAAAATGAAAACTATGCAGAGAAGATACATTTACATTTATTCTTTGGCTATAGATCTTCTATTAATGAGGAAAAGTTAACTACAAAAAAACTGCTGGAACTTCTGGTTTTTGTGTGCTCTGTCTCTTTGAGTAATGCAGCTGTTACAATGGTGTGTGTAAAACCTGGTCCTGGTAGAAACAAGCTCAACATGTTGATACAATGGCAGATAACCATGATACCCCAAAGATTTTGCAACAGGAGATGTTGCAGAAAATGGTTGCTCCTTCACAATGGCTGCTGTCAGCTACCAGAGTTTGAATATATTTGCACAGACATCACAGCTTGGCAGCACGCTGTGATCTGAACTCTGAGTCTCCACCCTTTTCCTACCCAAGTTGAGTCCATCAGGGAAGTCTGCAGCTCAGCAACAATCAGTACTACTAACAGTTCTGGAAACAGAAACAGTTGGGCGAGGAGCTGTGGAACTTTTCAAGAGCAGTGAATAAGAGGACAGAGGGTAATAATGCATGCCATGAATCGGCTGAAGAGATCCTAAGACTCTTCCTCATAACAGAAGAAGCGCTTCAAGTCTGATAATGGAAATACCTTTCTGAATGATACCTAATTAACCTCTGGAATGCTCTACCCTGTCTTTCAGTGATACATCACTGAAATTAAGATATTAAGTATTCAAGTGTGGATGTATCGTAGTCCACTCTTCCTCCTTAGGCCATGCCATGCAACTCTAGCAAGCTTCTGAGTCATAAGACTGAACGAGCAGTAAGAACGTGTACAGTTATGCTTGAATTCAAAGAGAGTACAAGATATATAAACCATCAAGACTGAAGGATCCAAGCACCTACTTTTTGACATAGGTTTTAGACAAAGAATTCTCTTACGGGCTGGTTATTCCAAAATGGCCTCCTAAAACTTCTGAAGTATCTGACATTACCTACAGCTACAGCCTGGATACATGACTTCTCTGATCTACTGTGGCTGCTCCTTTCCAGTCACTTCTTGCAGCAGCAAATCCTCTCCCACATCCTCTGTGCTCTTCAAGTTTCCAGTGACTGGCAGAAAGGAA